TATATAATATATAATTTAAAATTTTATTTTAAAACTTTGCGCATACACTTCTTCAGCATCCTCCTCTTTTGTTCATTGCACTGAAAAGTTTCAAAAAACACAAAATATATCCCTTTACTAAACATTTTTTGTTCTTAGGTTACAAAAAGATTAACATTTCACAGTCACAAAGCAGAAGTACATTGGTCCAAAACATCTTCCTCCAGCAGGTCCTCCATTCTTCAGGACATCTAAAACCCAGACAGTTGTACAGATCTCAAAACAAGATGACTTGTCCAATGGAGGAAAGAAAAAGGTGGCAGCTATTAATAAAAAAAACAAAACAAAAAACCCAAAACAAAACAAAAAAATCCCAAACCAAAATAAGACACCTATGAAAGAACACCACTAGTTAAAAAAAGGGAAAAAAAAAGACAGAAAAAAAGACAGAAAATGAAAGAGCGGAGGTGGACAAAGGCATCCTCCTTCAAGTAACTCACGGTAGAAATACAGCAGCACATTACAGCATCGTTTGGTCACTCTCTCTCTGGAAGCCACATTACTGTATCTTTGTCTAAGACACATGGAGGAAAACTATTTACACACCAAAAATGTCAGGGAGGAACAACAATTCCACACAGTTTGCAATTCATGTTTGATACAAAAATGTTGAAAGTATTTGTACATAAAATGTAAAATTAAAGCAAAATGCTGAGGCAGGAAGAAACACAGCAGATTTGCTTGTAGTGTGTAGTGTTCTTGAAAAACCTAGCAAAAGTTCAACGCCAAAACCTGCCCAAACATCAAGGGCAGTTCTTCAAAAATATCCCGGAGGCACAGAGTCAACTGAACCTCACGGATCTCTCTGGCCCTGCTTTAACATGGAAGTGACTGTACCATGGAAATCCACTGCTAACAGCAGACTCTGGCCACTCTTCCTTTAGCTTCTTAGCCCTGTTGTTTTTCAGAATTTATTAAAACATTCTCTCACTCTCCAGCATGAGGCCTCTCAACATCAGCCCTCTCAGACAATATGCTTTTGTGTTCATGAAGGAAGCTTAATGTACCAAAAGATGATTGTGTGCCTCACTTAAGGCGTAAATGAAATTTCTAACTACCTTCTTCATCAAATTAAACAAAGAAGATTTTCAGCTGTAGTGCAAGAGAAAAACATCCAAACCAGCCGTACTACCTTCTGCAACAGTATTCACAGAGGAATGGCACAAGCTTCTTGGTTTTGAGTTTCTAGAAACTGGACTGGACCAGCACTGTCAGCTAAGCTGAACGACATGGCGTAGCACCTCCTTCCCTCGCTGTTGTCCAAGGAAGGACAAGAACTTGCCTGACTTTCTAAGCAGCGCCTACGTAGACAAAGACACCGCACCGTGCAACAGCAATATGAACACAGATGTAACCCAGGACTGAGGTTCCTTGCTGCTAAGGCTTAAACAGTTTTGGATACCAAACTGGAACTTCACTGGTAAAAAACCCATAGCGCTGCCGGCATCAGGCAGTACCTGAGGTGACCGGCCAAGGATCTAAAATTTGGACTTGGTGCCCAACCTGCTGCAGTTTGAGGCAGCGAGCTGTCTGCTCCAAACTCAGGAGCGTCACCGAGCCCCAGGGCAGCACAAGCCTGCACACGGCAATATCCATCCCGTGCCCATCCGAAAAATGGTGGTGTGCACCACGCAGCCTCCCTGCCATCAGCAGGTTCTAATGCTCAGACTTCCAAAATAATTCAACCTATAAAGGGAATTGGAAATGCTTTTAATTATTCTTGCTCTTCACACCATTCCTCCCCAAGAAATGACTCCCGCCTCCTATTTATATGAGGCTTTGGTGTATATATGTATTTATACCATGCCTTGAAGCAGAGCACAGCCTGCCGTGCAGGCACTGAGAAGCTCCTACCAAGAGCAGACAGAAGCAAAAGCCCAAGTACTGACGCAGCGTATCGGAGATGTACCAGAGACACTCGAGGGAGGCAAGCATGTAAATGTCTAACAGATGCTTAGTAAAAAAGCAAAACAAAAAGCATCACAGCATAATTTCAGTCACATACATCTGAGCAGGAAACTTTAACTCAGAATTTATTAATTGATGCTAACTACTATTGCTGATACTGCACTTCTGCCCTTTCCAGGAGAGGGGCTGACAGCTAACGTAGCTCAACCTGGGCCCAGTCGCTGCAGAGCAGCAGGCTGACCGACAGCAGCAGCTCAGATGAACAACAAATGTAGTGGAGGCTGATCCACAAAGTCACACCAGTGCCCACGAGATTTCGCTCTGAGAAGTCACCAGCCAGTTTTGCTCCCACCAAGCCGTGCGCTCTGCTAACCCAGCTCTCCAGGGCTACGTTTAAAAACACCCCCAAATGAGAAGGTGCATTTTCCATTGCCTCGAAGTTTCGCTTTTCAGTTTTGGCAGGTGCTACACTGGAAATTTATTTCCACCACATTGTACTCAGTGATTTTATAACGACTGGTATGTGTGTTGACACCATGTTACCAAACAGTGAAGACTAACAAATGCATGAGCACTGAAATATTTGACTCGGGCTTGTAGTTGGTACCAGCAAGCACCAGCTGCTTAGCTGTTCAGATAGCTCTGCCGGAATTGCCAGCCTTACGTTTCTTTGTGAAAGAGGAGCTGACTTGCTAGAGGACTACACAACTGCATTTGCGAAGAGACAACAGGAGTTACACAGAGCATGAAAAGCATGTTTACACAAGTTTATTAGGCCAAAAAAAAAAAAAAGGCAAGAGAAGATCTCTTGCTTAAGCTTTAAAAGATATGAGGGGCCATGTGAAAAATATTCTAGACTCCAAACCTCTCTTTTCACCCAGCTGCACACAGAAAAAGAGGTAAAGGGAAAAAAAACAAGGAAAGAACAGATAAAGCATGACAACACATAATCAGATATGCCATTGATTTATGCCGAAGCTCTAGAGTAGAAAACATCCGTGTTCTGCTCAGCTTTATCACATGCAGGCACTGGGGAATGCATGGAACAGTTTTCAGGCTAAAAATCATGCAGTTTGCTGCATGTTTGAGCCATGACACACACTGCAGTGCCTGCTCGCAACCCAAAACTCCTACTGGGTCTAGAGATTTAGAGCAAGGGTAGTTTAAATCCACCGCAACTGTTGCACATGTCCTTCTGGATGCAGTCAAATAAAGCATCTGGGCAGCTATACTGCACACGCCCTGCGTGGTGTTTACATAGCACATTATAAATTACAAAACTGTCAAGCTCTAGGCCGTGTTTGTTCAGGAGAAAGTCTACAAAGGGCAGAGCATCCCCTTTCTCCTTTGGAAAGGATACAGCATTTGTGAGCTGCCTAGTCAGTGCCCTACAGTTAGGTCAGCTCCCTGTCTTTTGGCCATCCAAGAAGTACAAACCAGGTGAGCAGCTCCAAAAGAATGTGGTCTGGGGGCAAATTCGGTTGAACTTGCCTCCCCAGCCAATATACCCAGCCATACGCTAGAACCTGCTGATCTTGTTTTTTCTTCAACTCCTGCCAATGAAGTAAGAGAGCTGCCTGCTTGAAGAACAAGCAGCCAGGGTAAGCTGCAGATTTGCTCACTTCTTTTCCTCTTGGACTATCACTTTCACTCTGATAATGTTTTACTCAGATTTTATTTAAAATGAGTCATCACTGCTAAGAAAAAAAGCTGCTGAAGCTAGCCAAGGGCTTGTATCTATCACAGTGATCTTTTGATCCTTGACTACAGTCCTCAATATCACGAGGACAGAAAGTTATAAGCTGTCACTTTCTGATCACCAAGTCAAGCAGGCGAAGGTACACTGAATAATAAATGAGGCAGGAAGAAGCAAAACGACTTTTAAATAGATCACTATCTGGGTATCCAAATTGATAACAAGAACAATACCACCACTTCAAGTAGGAATCCAACTTAAAATACACTCAGGAGCCCAAATAAATTTACTGAACCCCAACTGATGTAAAAGCTGTATGGTCAGGGATCCTTTCAACAGGATAAAGCAGGCAGAACCATTCAACGAATGCAAATCTCTGATCCCAAAGAAACGACAGCCTCCAGGTAAACACAGAAAGTTGAGTTTGCGTGCTCTGTATAATCATGGTATACACACAACAGGGAATCCTGCCAAGTAACTCCTCATACCAGAATAAATCTCCCCATACGGGACTGTGACCTATTTCTCCTGGACAATTTTGCAGGTGGCTGTTTTAGCTGTAGTAAACAGGCATAGTCACACTGAAAACAATTTTGGTTTTCCTACTAAAATACAGGAGTATAGTCTACTGAAGAAGAGATAGGAGAGGAAAATGGGAGTTCGAAGGATTACACAAGTTTGAAGTTGTCCATAGTTAAGTCATGAATGCAACTTTTTTAAAGAATAAAACTCTTGAGTCTCATATAGGTATATATAGGTATTTTTAAATAAGATGTGACCCAAGTCATCTTCTGAATATTTGGGGGTAGATTTCAGGAGCCTCCTTGGCTTCTGATACCCACTTCTACTTTCACAACTGAAATGGCTCTTCCAAGCTACATGGTAAACTGAGAAAAAAAATTATTTCCCCACCGGGAGGGATGACAGAATCCATAATATACTAGCAGCATTTAAATCCCATTCCTGTTAAGCACCAAAACCATTTCTATAGGGAAACTGTAATCTTAATGGTTATCTTTAATCATATACAGTATATGTGCAGAGCCCTACCTTTCGGGCAGAAAAATACCCCTCCAGCATTAGTTTTGAATAGATTACATCAGTTGGAAGCGTCCTGGTCACGACTGCCAAAAACATATTGTCTCTTACAGGCCCTTCCCAAAAAGATCCCCGTCCTATAACCACTCATGATGCTACTTTCACGACCGTTTGTTCCCGTGTATTAAAGGGATGACGTAGACAGAGATGTCGTCTCCAGAGCCCAGCCTGTCGTTGGATATTCGCCAGCCCCGGTCCTTCAGCACGCCCCTGGCTCGCATCACCAGGTCCTGCGCCGCCAGCGTGTACCTGTGGAAAAGGCAGAATACAGCCAGGGAGTGCTCGTCTTTGTGAGGAAAGCGGGTTTTCACAGCCTGCTAGATTTACAGAGCTACCAGGACAAACTTCTCAGTGGTCTGGAAGCAGGCAGGAGAAACGCAAACCATGGCACGCCCCCAAAGCAACTCCTTCCAGTTCAGCGACGGCTCCTGCACCACAATCTAAAGGTATTTGACAGGCACCAATCGATCAAAAAGTCACCAGTCATTTTGGGTGCCCAGCTTCACCAGTTTTCAGAAAAATATTAACACATTTGCCTTAACAAACTGGCTTTCTAGAAATAGTCTGAAAAATTGAGGACCCCAAATAACACTGCTTGCTGTTGAAAACGACACCCTTGTTCACTGACACACCTGAAGGTAAACACGGCTCGATTATTTCAGAGACCAACTATAACAAAGAAAGTAATTTGAAAGCAAGTAATAGAGCACTAAAAATAAAACCCAAATTACACTTTAAACCAAGTAGACTAACTTGTCCATTTTCCTTGACCATAGGAATGATTTTTAAGTCTCTTTTATTCTGAAACTGGAAAAGGAAACTTACAGTTAATACAGCCGGATTAACAGAGTCCCACAGTTCCTTCACATTTAGGAGTTCAATGAAAACTGTGTGAATGTGAGTTGTCAAGTGCTTAATTTAGTGAAATACCAAGTTTCACGCTGCTTCAAAATGCCCAGCCTGTGCTGGGCTGAGCGGCACTGATTTATGGGAGTTATTTTCTGTCCTGAAAAAATAACAGATGCTGCTTGGGGGCAGAAGGGTGTCAGAGTCCAAAAGGTGGTGTGAGACAGTGCTCCGACATGGCCTCCCTTATCGTTTTACCTGCTGTCACTACAGCAACACAGCTGTGTACTCGCTTAGAAGTTTCCTCTGAAAGAAATCTCATTATGGATGAACAGCTACTGTCACTGTTTTTCTTCATCAGTCCCACACCTGGCTGAGATGTTTTGAATTTGGCTGGGTGTAGGCAAGCTTTTCTATGATCTGATAATTAAAAATTAATCGAACAGTTAAAAGACTGACAAGAAAGAAAACAGTTCAATATTGTGTCTGCCTGGGTTTTATTTAAAGCCTAAGTATCAACCTCCAGGATGATGTGGGGCTCTATGAAGCCACACAGGCCACCAGAAGCAAAGCACATCTCTCTGGCTTCCAGAACCCAGGAAGGACAAGGTTGACATTTCAAGACCTCCTTTTCTAGGGAGGATCCATGGCCAGAAATGATCTGCCCAGATTCCATCTGAGGAACGGGAAAGAAGAGTATCTCCATTGATCAAAAGCAGAGGGGAGGGAAGTTTATTGAGTATCCAGGACTGTTCTAACCCCAGAAATTTTCACCAGAGAATGCATTATTAAATGGTAATTTCTGTCAGTAGAGACTTTATTCGCTTTCTGGGGATAAAAGAAGGAAAAATTCCCAGTTATGTTCTGTTTCTACAATTTTGGTGCCTCAAATGACTCCTTTGAACCAGGAATAGATTTATTTGCTCTACTAGAAAGATTTCTTCAATGCAAATGAACCAACACTTGACTACCCAAAAGGTTTGATGTTAAATCCAAGCAATGTACAGAAGCAATGCACCCCCTGCTCCTAATGGTACTGAGTGATAAAATTTCCAGCCCTCACTAGTTTTGACAAAAGATTTACTTTTAGCAATAAGAGAAGGGCCCAAGGCACGAACTCTAACACACGCACGCGCACTGTCCACATGTTCCGAGAGAAGTCTGTACCACCGACCTCGAGCTGTAACAGCAGGATGTAGCAAGAAGCACTGCCTGTACTGTCCTAATGCAACATGAAATTCTATTTTCTAAGGGGAAAAAACCCCAAACATACATACTTGCACTCCCCAGTTCTCAAATCCTCAAATCAGATGCAGGGCTAAGGAACAAAAGGACTCCACATGGCAAGCAAGAAACTGGAATATTTATTCACAGCATGTCTGATGCTGAGTGAATTTTGGCTAGAACATCTTTTCCAAGGATTTCTCAGCTATTGTCAGAATTTAAGAGAAGAAAACACCCATCATTCTGCGAGAAAAACTTTGCCATCCTCCTTTTTCTAATTAACAAGGGCTCCCCACATCTAAAGAGTACAAAGGAACGAGTATTGGTCTTGATTGTGTAAAGCTTTTGCTGCTTAATGTTTGGAGAGGGCGAGATAAAAAAAAAAAAAGGAATTTTAATAAACCAGAAATTCTCTCATAGGCAGACTGTGAAATACACAAGAAAACCAGCACATCGAAGCAAAGGAAAAGGAACAGGTGAAGGCAGCAGCGAGGTAGTGTATTCCTCTCCTTGTGTAGAGCTGAATTGAAGCGATGCCGTTCAACTTGGCACTAGAGGAGATAGGGTACCTGGAGATGAATAGCAGCAGCAGTCCATTACTGAATGTTTTATTCTCCAGCGCTGTGAACTTGGGATTCAGCTGTCAAGACAGCATCACAGAACTGCTGAAGTAGTTTTAAAGTATCCACTTCCTCCTAATGAACAGCCTGGCTGGAATACAACTTTTGTCTTTTAAGAATAAATATATATTTGGGGTTTTTTCTTCTGCTGAAGCTTTCAGTACTGATCAGTGAAAGTACTGCAGGAGAAATGGTGACAGCGGGGGAAACATGCTGCTGTCTGAGCAGCTTCTTATCTTCTCACACCCAGCAGAGGTGGAGCAACTCCCCAGCATCTTCATAAATCTCCAGCTAGTGAGAGAGTGAGAGGGAACAAGAAAGGACAGGAGGGAGGACGAGAAATAAAAGATTCTCAAGGTCAGTGGGTAAAGCTGCAGCTGAACGAAACGGGCAAGAGTCATGCTTCTCTATCTTCATACCTCTTCAGAGAGATGACGTGTGGAAGCAGCAGTGTGTCGCTACCACCTGTTCTTCACTCAGGGTCCCCTTCATGCTCCTGTCTGCCACAACACCCGTAAGAAATGAGCTGGCTAAGAAATCCAGCTCCTCCCAGCCTCACTCCATCGCAGCCCTCCAAGGAACTGTTCTCTAATCAAGTCTGTGCCCATCACCCGCTGCCCAAATCCCCTGAGGCTGTGTCTGCATGGCTGGGTGAAGACAGACCCAAGGACTTTGCTCTCCCTGCACTTGGAGATGCCCAGGCACATGCTACATTTGACAGGATTCAAAGATGTTTTTCTGTGGGTAACAAACACTCACAGTTCTGACAGTAAATATCAGCAGGAGAGAGTCCCAAGAGCATTGCTGAGGGCTGTAAGCTCTTACCCATCATGCTATCATACAACTTCTAATTCAAATGGGAGGGATATTGTTCCCACAAAGAGCTAATTATGTAACAGATAAGTACTCTGCAGCTCTAAAATCTTCCTCTCTAGTTTTTGTTTTTTTTTTTAAATATGCTGCTGTCAGGGAGTAAGTAGGCTACTGGGTCAGGTGGATCCAGGGTCTGCTCCACAGGTAGGTTCCCCAGAAGACCACAGCGTTGCCAAACCCAGGGGGCAAGTCTCTTATGTTCTGACATGTTTTCTAAATCCCTAGAGATTTTACATTTCCAGCTGATCACCACACCACAGACTATGTCACTACACCCATCACAGAACCCGACATTTTCTGGAGTAACATTTCCTTTAAACATAACACTGATAATACAGCAAACAAGATTTTCCTGTCACTGACTAGTCAGAGGAATGAACGGAGCTACAGAGTCTGAGCTGCTATGCTATTGTAAATTCATTAGTTATACCTCATTTGGACCACTGTGAAGTAATTACGTAAAACCTCTCAGACAGTACTTTAAACCCTTTAAGTATTCTTTACAACCAAGCAGCAAGAGCAATTCCACAAAGGTAATTTTCATAAATATCATTGTAAACTATATGAGGGACTGCTCTAATTACCTTTTGCAAGCTGGCATGAGAAATGTCTTGCCACCACTGTTTGTAAGCCTCTAAATGACCTGGCACAAAGTTACTTAAAAGAACAAATTAATTTTCAGTTCAGATGTCCATTCATAGACCAATAGGTCAAACACTAATAAATGTGTTTGTTCTAACTCATAATACAGCAGGCCCAGTTCTGGAGTGTGTTGTATTCACGCTGGCACAAACAGGGACTAATACCCCACAATTAGTGGGGCTAAACCAGCACAAACAAATCTAAATGAAACAAAGAAAGTCTCTTTTTTCTTTAGTGTCTCCGATTTCTATGAGTGTTTTATGATGGATGAAAAATCACTCACCTAACAAGTCAAAAAGATCAAACAAAGAATTCCCATTCCTACGGCAGCAAACGTGGAGACCACCGCCAGCTTTGGCAGGACCAAAAGGAACAAGGCAGACACAATACACCCAGCCTGAATTAAAACCAGACAGAACCAGCGAGGAGCGTAGGAAGAGCCAACCTTTCCCAATTGCTAGAGGAGAATGGAGACAGAGCAGGGCAGAGCTATTACATCTTACCAGGTGCCTTTGCAAGAGGAGACTCAGGGGTGCAGAAATGAGAGCAAAAGCTCCCTAGCACCTCTGAACAGTGCTAGGGAATAACCAAAAGTGGATTGGGTGGGTCATCTCCTCCTGCCTTAAATTAATGGCGTATCTGCATAGCATGGTGCTGGATGCTCTGGAAGTGCCCCTCGCTAATCCTGCCTGATCTCCCCGAGAGAGGGCAGAGACACTTCCATGTCTTGCTGAAGTAGAGACAGCCCTGGCTGTCATTCACACCACATCTCCTCTTCAGCGCAAGGAGGTGTGGAAGGTCAAAATATTGCAGTTGCAGCTTCATGTTAATTGCCCATTCTCCTGATGACTGAGTGCTTGCAGCAAAACCTCTTTTTGCATTCCATGTTTGTAAGCATTAGAGCAAGAAAATACTGCTTGGGAGTTACTTTGGAGCTGCTCTCACTTTAAAACCCAAGCGGCTGTCAGGGTGTCCATACCCAGCCGTCTACCTTGTTTGCTGATGGCGAACAGGGCTGACCCTGTGAAGATGACCACTTAGAAATATGAGAAACACCAAGCATTTTGAGATAGGTTTCCCCACATCCTCAAGAGCGGCCACTCTAGTGTGATGTTTTAATTCACGGTGACACCGAACTCAGCGACAGACAGACTGATGGACTCACTCAAGGCAGACAGCGCTCTAGGCAGTTGTTTGGGAACTTGTCTGTTTGCTTGACGGTATGTTTTAAAGACAGGAATTGATCAAGCAAGGGGTGATAAAGACGGGAAAATGAAGAGGAGGAGGTAGGTTAAAATTGTTAAATGAAACACAATCCAACTGAATGGAATAGTCAGACTTTCCACCTATTTCTACCTCTTTTGTTACCACACCTGTCCTGCAGCTGATAGCACTGAGCATCCCCTACTGAATGAAGGTTTGAAGGTCACAGCATGACCAGGAAAGCCTGGGAACCACACTGTGCAGTATTTATACATACATACATACAGCGAGAGAAAGAGATATATACTGATGACATCCTAGTGAGAAACAATCTTTAGTGTTAAGGGACTAACCGGAGGAGAGTTAAGTGGAAACCAGTGACTGCTGGAGAGAGAGACTTGTTGCTAAGACCTCAGCCTCCTACAGTTTCGACAGGACCTCATACAGCAAACAAAATGGATCCCACGTGAAGATACCATGATCCCACAACTTTTCCTTTGAAGGCAGGCAATTCTGAGTTATAACAGACATCCCCCCCAAAACCCTCACATTTGCTGTAGAAGCTCCATCCAACATATAAAAACGTCTTCTTGTAAGTGCTGCATATTTATGAATCTTATTCATGTCATACTTTCTACAAAAATACGTTACCAGAAAGCTCTCTTCCACGGAGAAGCTAGAAAATTGGGGATGAGCACAAACCTGTGGGGATCATCAGGGTCACAGTTTGGTAGAAAGTTAGTGACAGCTTCTGCCACTTCTTCATTTAACAGCACATCCCAGAGTCCATCAGTAGCTAGAATGAGAACATCATCTGGCCCATGCTCATACTGCAGGAGGTCATAGACTCTCACCTAAAACAAAAAGAAACCCAAGAGACATCCATGAAGGCGGAAAGTGTCAGACCTGTTTGTGAAACGCTGCTGAGCTTGGCTGCGAGTTAGGAGGTTCGGCCAGGGCACTGAAATACCCTTCCCGCAGCACCGCTGGGGTCTGTCTTCAGTTTTGCCCTTGAGCCAGCAACTCCTCCTGCCCCGGCACGGCACACGTGCCGACCCCAGCTGGGATGGACCCAAGCATCCCCCAGGAAGGCTGTAGAGCCCTGTGCGCCCGCTGCCAGCAGCGCTCAAAGCCTCCCCCACCCAGCAGCCTGGTTCGGTGTGCAAGGCTCTTCCCTACCATTGGCAGGACTAGTCATATGGAAGCTAAATAATTTATCTGATGAATTTTTGATATTTTCTAATAAAATATTCACAAATAATTGTTTTCACTATTTGTCCAGATCCATTTAACTCTGCCAGATAAATTGCACATGTTCGGAAATGCCTGTGTGGCAGAAGGCATCGCATTCATTTTTCTAGACCTGAGGCAGCCGCAGCACTCAGGAATTACAATGAGTAGTTCAACGAAATGGAGAGAAACTATTTACCTGCTCAGTTATGTGTGTCTGTAAGGAGTTCAGTAGGTAGAAACCAATTCAAGATCTGCACAAAAGTGAACCCCCAGGCTTATCCGCACTATTAAAATGCCCACTGGCCTCACCCTGTCAGTCCGCAGCCGCAGCCAGGCTGACCACTGCCGCTGGCACCTCTGTAACACCCTGCCTTTCAAACTACTTCCACTGTCTTCTCCTCCAGGAGGCTGGGGAAAGCCAGGAGTGGAGGGAGCAGACACAGGGGGTGCCGCGAGGCCGTCATCTGAGCCAGAAAGCGAGCAAAGGCCATGGCAAGTGTTTTAAAATGAGCCTTCAGTTCGGTGTAACACTCTCTCCTTCCAGCACATGCTGTAGTCCAGCTGACAAACCGCCTGCAATTCCCAGCTTGCGATGGGGAGCCGTTCCGAAGTGCTCACGGAGCACTTTAATCACCACAGCAACAACCACAGTTTGAAAGAAGTGTGACAACTTTGGCAAGGCAGACAGGAGGAAACGATCATCTGTACTGAAGTTTGGAAACGGTGCACCTTGTCACGCACCCTGCTCCAGCCCCGGGCTTCACTAACAGCAGCACCAGTCAGGAAATGTGTCGGGACAAGCACTTGGCATAACTAGAAAATATGAGCTGTTTTATTCTCCCTCATGGTGCATTCTCCCCTTAGGAGCCATGGAACAGGCAATGCACATAAAATGCCTGGACCTTTTAATGTAATTATGATTTTATGGGACTGCAACCAGTACCGGAGGAAGAAAAAAAATAAATCACCTAGACCTGACTGCTAATCCTTACTTGTACGCCTTTCACTCAAAAGCACAAGAAGGTCATTTGTAAAATGTAACCTCCACTTCATTATCTAAGGTAGCAGCTGAATAAGGACTTTGGAGAGGATTAAAGTCAAGGCAAGATACTCTCTTCATTAGAGCATATCTCCTTATTCAGACGGAGTGGGAATACTGCAACCACAGCTCTCATCTCAAGCCCACTGCACAGAAACCAGTAGCTGTCATAGTCCCTATCTCCCAGAATTTAGTTCAGCCTCCAACAGCCGAGGGTTTTAACTCAGAAATCAATGGGGTGTGGAGGGTAAGATGGCCAACACAGCCATCGACAGGCAGCACATGTTCTGGTCAGTTCTCTTGGGTACGGGCAAATATTTGAGAACACATCGGGGTTAATGCTCAGGGATGCACTCAGCAGCAAGCCCCTCGTATGAAAAACCAAGCTTTGAACATCAGCACTAGGGAAAACACACCTACCATGGCTGGCAAAGCATGCATTACACCACAAGAGCCTTTTTTGCAGCATTGGTGGGGAGAAGGCAAGAAACCAAGACCATGCATCACTGATTTGAATCCTCCTGAAATGAACAATCTTGTCTGACTGGGGAGCGGCACTGGGGCAGATAAGAAACTTGTCAAAGCTACTTGCAGCCAATCCACAGGTCAAAATGCTAGAGCAACACCAAGAACAGATCATTTTACCAAGAACATGTTTAGTTTTTGGGGAAAAGAAAAAAAAAAATGCAATCACTCATTTTATGGGTAATCTGGGAACAAGGTAGTTACTTCCTAAAAGCAAAAGCTTTGTGAACGGAGCACCTCCAGAAAAGGGTGCCATTGAGAAGGCACTAGATATCAGAAGAGGTGCAGAGAAGGGCAGTACGGTGAGCAATAAGGGCTGGTACCCAGGCTAAGGAAAAGAGAATGCTAAGGTTACAGGAGGCAAGCTTCAGGCAACAAGTAAGATTCTTGTATACAAGGACCAGTCGGACATGCAACAAAATGTTCACTGAAATGCAGCTTCGTCTGCCTTCCAGTTACCACAGCAGCAACACATTAGGGCAGCCATGTCCACATACTAAATTTTTTTCTAAAGCTCTTTCTTTCTGTCTTTCCTTGGATTTCTAAAATACAGCTACAGGTGCCTCCAGCACATTTCTGACAAAAATGAGTTAATTTAGACCTGTTCAGTCTATCATAAGTTCAGGTTATGCTCACAGACCACCTTGCCCAGGTGCATAAAGAAGCCAGCTCCTAAACCTTCACTTTTCTGCTAGCAGCTTTGTTCCAGCTCTTCCTTGGGTCAATGAGGGTCTCTTGCAGGAGTGACATGTGCCTTCAGCTGAATGCGGAGCAGGGCGAGAGCAGAGCTCCTGGAGGCAGACAAGTTGGGCACCACCACCAAGGCACATGTAACCAGTGCTCAGCCCGCTGAGCATCCGCTGAACATCCACCGAACCTCAGCGCTCACTGAACCCCCACGTTGTGCAACACCCCACAGCATACTCCACACATGCTGTACAGAAAAGGCGAGGGAACGTGATATGCCAGAGTTTCAGAAAGATGAGGATAGATTCAGGGAGTTACCTAAGTGCCTGCAATAGCAAACAACTCCACAGCCCTGTAAATCTTATGTGACCAAAAGCAGCTCATTGACTCCAATGGAAATTACTATTTTTTTTCTTTTTTTTTTTTTTTTTAATTCCAGAGCCAACCTTCCCAATGACTGCCTCCTTCCCATAGCTGTATTTCAGGAAACTAAACAATTGTGAGGTCTACGTGACGTTCTGTCTGTGACATAAGTTTGCGCAAAGCTGCACAAACCGCAAAATAGTATTGCAGAGCCCTGCCAGTGCAGATGACGGCTGGCCAGACACCAGTTGGCAGTGCAGAGGTTTCCTTAACTGGTGCTGCACCCTTGACAAATTTCCTAGCAATTCCACTCCAAATCTTGTCTTTTCCCTCATGACTCATTGGTTCTGCAGTCAGACATCAATCCTGATAGTGCCCCACAGAACTCATGACCTCTGCCTCAAATGCCTTGGGCTGCCTGTGCTCTGTCCTCTGCCTCCGTGCTGTCCCCAGAGCCTTGTCAGCAACTCCCCCCAGCCTTCCAGCCCCTTCTGTGTTGCCCAGCAAACTTTCTCACTCTTGAACATCTCCCCGGAGCACTGTGGCAGCCCCCAAAGGAGCCCTGTTTGGTCACCATACTTCTACCATCCACTGATGTCTTACTTGATGTAGAGCAGCTGACCTGTTAACTAGCTAAACTTGACTTTAGTAACCAGAAAATGTAAAAAGCCAACTATAAGGAAGGAGCACCAGAACCTCGGTAGCACGGACATCCATGACAATAAGCATTGGGTTACACTGTATTTTATCCTGACTGGTACTTACAGATCTCTACCGACAGCTAACAGTGGATACGCACCGCCAAAGCCCACAGTCACACGTGACATCTTTCTGAACATGAGTTACGCAGTTTGTCACATAACGCCTTTCTTCAGTCCAGATATTTGGTCCTCATATTGCTCACCCTCATGCAGTCAAGAGCGCTGAGAAAAATGCTCTGGGCAAGCAATGAACAAACAGGTGGGCTGGTTTTATATTTACATTTCAAACGGATCTACCCACCGGACAAAACCTGCATTTGGCCGCCGAAAAGGACCACAGCAGCTCTGCGAAGGCGCTGCGGCTTGTTTGCCAGGTTTGTTTCTAAGAGGCAGCCAACGCGAGTCCCTGCGGCTCGAAAACCGTTCACAACAGAGTGAC